AGGAGGCAGCCATCGCCGTCAAGAATTCCTACATTTACTCAGCCAGACCTGGCTGACCGAGACTTTGGCTGCCTGCCAGATGACGTTGGGCTGGCCTTTGATGGAGCTCAAGTACTCGCACGCGACCATATTGCGAACGCTGTACGAGATTAACATCACAAGAAAAGCGCCTGCGCATCACGAAAACCCCGTTGGGGTATTTCAGAAGGGTTGCCTGAAAACGCATAGCCCGCCTTGAGACTACGAACCCGCAGTTTTGGAGACGTAATATCGGAAGCCCTTGGTTGTAACGGCTGGGCAATGCCAGTCCTCCGAGAGATTCCACACTGGTCGTTCGTGATGAGCCTTCTTATTCGCCTGAAGGCGCGGACGAAGTCGGTTGACATTGTTCACTTGCCTCGAATACGAGGTGCCTAGGCTATTTCCATTTCTTTTGTGCATGACATTCGTTTCAAGTTGGAGTTGGCAACGGTTCGCGGATGCAAGATCCGACAAGCATCAGAGAATGATCGGATACAGGACGCCTGTGCCCCAGACTCTCACTGGTCCACCTGGAGCCGCAACACATGCCACGAGAACCCCCTTGGGAAGCGATTCGAGGGCACGAGAAGCCGGCACTTTGGGCGATCTAAACTTGACTGGTTCTGGACTGCAGACCTGTACGACTCGACGAAACAGAGCTGCATGTCAAGCCGGCCAATGACAGGCCCACGGTCGGCTCTCTGGGGATGACTCCGGTGATTCACGCAGCGGCATGCACGGTATTTCTGACGTGGGGGTGCAGGCAGAAGGCCAGGCAAACAAGCCCATTGTCCCGGTGTTTGAACTCTCGATTTCAATTGCGACCTTCGAGGAAGTCCTTTGCAAAAAAAAACATTGGAGGGAAGAGTATTGGTGTTGAAGGAAGACGGTGAATGGTGAAGGGAACCAACCTTTCAGTGTTCAGGGTTCAGGGATAGACCCACCTTCTAAATATGGCTAGTGTGGTGCAACCCTGCCCAGTGCCTTCACCTCGGTGAGCGCCACCCGGAAGAACCTCTGCTCCGCTGCCCTAATTTTTTTTCGCGGGCATTTTCCAGCCCACAACGAAAATCCACCCGTGGAATTGCGTGAAGTTCGGACTCCAGCGATCTCAAAAGACAAAAACCTCTCTTCCCTCACCACACCACAACCAACAGACGCAGGATCATACCTCTTTGCGTTCCACACATCCGTCCAAAATGGCTCCTCAAGCAGTATGTACATGATCACACCGCTTTGCTGTTGGCCAAGCCTCGAAAGAGGCGGCGGCGTGAAACAGTAGGCTAAGGTCATTTTTTCAACAGGCGATCAAGCGCACCGGCAAGGGCAAGGCCCAGAAGGTCACCAAGAAGGTAAGAATCCAATCCTCCAAGACGCCATGCGATTCGGTCAATCAAACAAGGCTAACCAATTGGCGCCCATCAGTTCATCATCAACGCTTCTCAGCCCGCCTCCGACAAGATTTTCGACGTCGCTGCCTTCGAGAAGTTCCTCCAGGACAAGATCAAGGTTGAGGGTCGCGTCGGCAACCTCGGCGACCAGGTCCAGATCTCCCAGCAGGGTGAGGGCAAGATCGAGATCATCGCCCACAACGAGCTCTCCGGCCGCTACCTCAAGTACCTGTGAGTAATTCCGAAACAGCTGGTTCCCGCAGTCGCATCACGCAGATTACTGACTTTTCGTTACCCCGCAGGACCAAGAAGTTCCTCAAGAAGCAGCAGCTCCGTGACTGGCTCCGTGTCGTCTCCACCTCCAAGGGTGTCTACGAGCTCAAGTTCTTCAACGTCGTCAACGACGAGGCTGATGAGGATGACGAGTAAACGTGACCAGTAACATGGTTTTACGTGTGCATGGGTCGGGTTCAGGTTACTTGGGTCGGCATGGGCACTGTTTTTGGCAAGGTTAAAAATGGGAAATACCAAAAGTTAGCACCCTCGTGTGCTTGTTGATCTGCCACCACACATTTTCGTTCCTTGATGCATCCGTGAGAAGTGATTCTGGGTATCCTTTTACAGTCTATGATATGCGTGTGTCCACCCACGTCTATCCATGTCTCCTTTAACAAGTGTACACATTGTCTATTCTGGCAAGGCGCGCATGACACCCTCGAATGCTACCAGCGCCATGGCATTGGCAGGGAACGCCCGCAAGAAGCACGGCAAGAACCCGCGCCAGTATCCCTTCCATCCGCTCTCCCTATACACCGTAGTCGCCGCGTCCTTCCACCTCCTGAACCGCGGCGTGCCGTCGTTCAGCCCGCCTCCCAGCGGATCCGTCATAATGCGCTGCTTCACAACGTCCGACGGGTAACTCGTCAGCCAGAATATCTGAGCACTCAGTCCTCCAGCCCAGAAGTTGATCGCCGGCGCGCTCAGCTTCGTGTTGTCCTTCATCCACCTCGAGAAGACGTCGTAACTGCCCCACCAGCAGAAGAAGAAACCCCTGAAAAGCAGCGTCGCGCTGAGACCGTGGTAAACGCCGCGGATGCCGTGGTGCGAGTAGATCTTCTTCAGGCAGTCGACGGGCCCGCTGTACAGCCGCTCGGCCTTGTTGGCGGCGTACTGGATCTGCAGGCGCGCCTTGACGTGCTCGACGGGCGCCGCGATGAAGCTGACGGTGCTGCCGGCCATGATGCCCGCGATGCCGTGTCCGTACGAGGGCAGGTTCTCGGGACCGGGGAGTTTGAAGAGGCGTTCGGCGACGAGGCGGCGGTAGACCGTCAGGGAGCCGAGCATGACGGAGTCCATGAACATCCAGCCGACGAGGGGCGGCGTGGCGCCCTTGTAGAGACCCGGGATTCCCTCATTGCGCAGTGTCTGTCCGACGCATTGGAGAGGTCCGCTGAAGCGGGAGGTGTCTGTCGTTTGGAGACGGACCTTGATTGTGTCGAACGGGTGGCCGACTTCGCAGTGTCAGTGATTGAGACGAGCTGGCAACGCCGTGAGTATGAGTGACCAACCTGAGAGTTTCGCGATGCCAGAGAACACGCCGGCAACGAAGCCTTTGTAGTTCTTCACTTCGGGCTTGGGCGCCTGCTCCTGCCTTTGCCTCACGTCTGCAGCCATCTTGTCTGGGAGGGTGAGATGAGTGCGATTGCGGAGTGAGATTTCTAGTGACGGGCAGGGATCACGATTTATTTTATCGTCACTTTCCGTCGAGCCGGCGGAAGATTCCGTGGGCTTTACAGGAGAGAATTTGGCTCCTGGTTACCGCAATGGCTCTCACACAATATCCATTGCAAGAACGCGATCAGTAAAGAACGTCGTGTACACCTTAAGTTATTAACTCCGTCGTCATGAATCATGAAGCTCTTTGGCTCGCTAAACAAAAGGAACCGACTCCGGGGTCGGATAAGCTTGTATCGGACCGACGCTATGGATAGATAAATACGGATGGTGTAATCGCATACATGTCAATCCTCATTGGCCTGTTCATTCCACGCGTCATTGCAAAGCTGTGCGCCGCGATAATGTATACCAAGCTACTTCAGCGGCAGTGGGATATCGTCGAGTCTGGGAAATGAGCCCCATACCGATATCTCCGCCTTCCATCCCGGCACCTCGTAGCCACGATGTTGTCCAACTGGTCCCGGCCGGTACACCCAGATCCTTTCCGACTTGGGATGAACCATTGATGTAAGCATCAATTCGACTTCAATCCTGGGTATGACTGCAGCGACGGAACTCAACTGCTTGATCATTTCGAGATGAATATGACCGGGCACTGATCTTTGCTGAGACAGTGGGATTTCGAGTCGGACATGGAACTGCTTAATATTTTTGAGTAATGTGAGCCTTTGACATGCTCCAGCCCAGCTGGCGAGAATTTTCTTCCGGGATGATGGCTTGAATGCGCCGTCGCTACTAAGCTTGACATCAAGCGACACTTTGTTGAGGCGAGACGAGAGGCCGTTTGCCAAAACCCCACTGGAAACTCTGTCTATGAATGAATCGAGCGAGAAGAAATCTTGAATTGCAAGGGACTGGTCGCAATGAGGTGCGACGTCTTCGTACATCCTTCGGCATGCAAGCAACAGAGGGAGTGGGTAGATGATTTGATCGTGAGGGCGCCTGATCAAGTCCAGGACAGACTTGTAAAACGCGTTCCCGTCGTCGAATCTTTCGGCTTCAAAACGTGCAGCGAAACGTTGTGCCCTGATCTCGGTTCCCTTATCTTCGCATATGCCGTTGCATTCGATTCGTTTCAATTGTTGAGGGCTTCCGGAGGGAATCTTGCCGATGTCGTTGAATGAGGGTATGCCTCCGACATCAGTGTAGATGAGCTGCGGTGAGTTGATACGAGGAAATGCGAGTTCGTAGATGACAATTCGGATTTCCCAGGGGAGACGAAAGAATGGCGCTTGCTCCTGATGATATGGCGCAGCATCAATCGCAGAAGACTCGGTGGCCACGGGGAGTTGTTCCGTCATGGCTTTGTGGTCACAGAATAGACGATGTCCGGGATTCAGATCATGGTACAATGCAGCGAGCTTGGCTGCTGGAATATTTAAGTATAATTGCGCTGTAGCGCCGCAGGGCTGGTTATGGCGATGGCTAAACCAGAAAGACAAGTGCAGATCTATATCCGAAAATACCTAGCCTAATATAAATGACGAGATGATCTTGTTGGTTCTACATCAAAGAGCCAGAGGGGATCGCAGAGCTTGAATGCTCCTAACCGGGGTCCATCCCACTACTTTTGATGCATTTAAACAGAATAAGGACCGTTCGGTGGACCGTGCGGAGGTACGCGAGACGTTTTGGGGGAGTGACAGGGGTCCAGAGCTTACCCCCCGATTTCTTGAGAGCTCCTGCCTCAGCGTTCAGACTGACGTCACGTGGAGCTGACGTCCATTCACTGAAGCAAGCACCAGTCCAACCCGTCTGGCCAGGACAGGAACTTCGGTCCATCACACCTTCGAGGTCGCAAGGGCATCCCAAACTTTTCCCAAACATCGCGACTGTCGACCAAACCCCACGATGAAAGCGATCTACGCCGTCCCGGCGACTTTTGCCCTCGTCTATCGAGCCTGGTCGCACCAGTCGCTGACCCCGGCAGGCATTGCGGCAGCTGTCATTACTGCCATTGCTCACGCCTACCACCCATGGAACCTGCCTTTCGCCCTGCTGTGCGTGTTCTTTCTCGCTGGTACAAGGGCCACTAAGGTATGCGCGCTGCTTCTGTGGAGCGGCAAGTTCTCACAAGCAGCAGGTCAAGAAGGATATCAAGGCCACTTTGACGGTCGCTTCCCAAGGCACGCCAGGAGGTGAAGGCCCGCGAACCCACGTCCAAGGTCAGTCAGAACGTTCCCAAAAGCCCTTTCGAGTATGCGAACCGATCTAATACTTGGCAATACAGTCTTCGCGAACTCCCTCATGGCCTCGTGCCTGTCCCTTCTCCACGCCTACCAACTCAACAAGCGAAAGGATGCGATCCTGGACACCACCACCCCGAACCCCTCCGGTACCCTCTGCTTCTCCTGGGGAGGAGACCTCCTCGTCATCGGTATCATTGCCAACTACGCCGCCGTCGCCGCCGACACGTTCAGTTCTGAGCTGGGCATTCTGGCCAAGAGCGAACCTCGACTGATTACATCCCCTACCTTCCGCAAGGTCCCGCGGGGCACGAATGGAGGCGTGACGCCATTGGGAATTGCAGCTGGAGCCCTCGGATCTATGATCATTGTCACTACTTCGATGGTATTCCTCCCTCTTTGCGGCGAAGGCACTGCTGGGAAGGTCGGCGGTGGACTCAGTGGCTGGACGACGCAGCAGCGGTCGACACTCATGCTCGGCCTGACTGCCTGGGGCGTCCTTGGCAGTCTCCTCGACAGTGTACTCGGCGCCGTCTTCCAGCGCTCTGTCAAGGATGTGCGATCTGGCAAGATTGTCGAGGGCGAGGGCGGCACCAAGGTTCTGATCTCCGGCGACTCGTCGGACCACGCCGATAAGAACCAGAAGCGCGCCGCGGTCAAGGCTGCGGTGCTTCACGGAGAGGGCAAGGCCGCCGTAGAGAAGATGGAGAAGACGGACAGCGCCATCGAGGACATTGACGCCCCTGAGATGAGTGCAGACGCCACGAGATATGATCCCAAGGACAAGCACCGCAAGTCTAGCTTCGGCGACGCGCAGCCTTCCCGTGTGATTGAGACTGGATGGGATCTCCTGGACAACAATGACGTCAATTTCCTGATGGCATTCACGATGAGCATGGGTGCGATGGGAGTAGCCGGCTGGTATTGGGGTGTGCCACTGGAAAGCATCTTGGACGCCTAGACTTGTATCATAGGGTGATAATAAAGTGTACATTTGGCAATATTTCCTGCGCTTGCGCTTGCGACAGTAGATCGCGATGCTTAATTAGAGTAAAAGTGTGCAACTTGTTGAGCTATCTCGTCGCATTTCCCAGGGCATCCTCAATCTCAAGACCTGGGTGCATAAGGATTCAGATCATTGTTTGAGCGAGACAAATTGCGAAGGCAAGCAGCAGAGATGGCATTCGCAAAACGTACGCCACTGCAGAAAGCGCACAAGTGACCAATGGAAGTAAACATGTCTTCTCGCGAGAGGGCTCGTCGCAGCTCTTGTCAGGGTACAATCGTGGAGTGCAGAGAGTAGAGAGTAAACACCACGAAGGGTGCGAACTTGCGCGTCGCGACAGTACATCATAACAACTCTTGCGACAATCTCCTTCGTTCAGAAGCGCATCGCGCAAGCGCACTTTATAGACCTCCACGCGCAGGTGAAATAGCATGGATTAATAGCATCAAAGGGTCAAAAGAGTTCACCCACTGGTGTGGGCTACATCTCTTGGTGCTCATGCTGGGATATCTTCATCGCTCGGTTCGGTGCGGCATCACTCGGATCGGTGTGGCATCGCTCGGATCGGTGCGGCATCTCTCGGATCGGTGAGGTATCGGTCGGTCGGGGGGTAGCCTGTCGTCGAGTAGGCTTCGATCGGGATTCGAACGGTCGACCTTGGCGATTCACCAGCTAGTTTGACCTGACTTGTCCCGCCTGACCAAGATGCCTTCTAGTGGTGACAGTCTCTAGACGATTGGGAACAAAGTAGGGCAGGGTGCGCTTCTGTTGATTCTACGGTAGCGAGGGCGCGTGACGCGCGGGAGGTTGGGATGAAAAAGGTGAAGGTGAATATGGGTTGAGGCGGGCGTGGGAGGGAAGGAGCGGATCCAGGGGCGCGCCTTCCTCACCGGGAGCCGCAGGTGAAATTTAGGGACCACAAGTGCGGGACGGAAGACACGATTGGAATCTCCTCTCTGCAACATCTGCCCTTCACCCCTTGACCTGCTCCAACACCCTCTTCACAACCTCAAAGTCCTTTTCGACATCGACCCTCCAGCTGCCCACCGCAACCCGGACCGCCTTCTTCCCCTTCCAGCTGGTCCCGCTAACATACATCTCCCTCGTGCCGTTGATACGCCCGACAAGTTCCTCATTAACACTCTCTTCCTTCGCGCGGAACAGGACCACCATGTGCGTTGTGTCCTCCACGCTCCAATCCCCCTCCGGCAGCAGCTCGTACGCCTCCGACTCACGGATCCAAGACGCAATCTTCCTCGCCAGAAGGACCATCCTTCCCAGAATCGTCGCGAGACCTTGGCGTCCTTCGGAGCGGAGCACGGCGTAGGCGGGCAGCGCGCGGAAGCGGCGCGAGTTCTCGAGGCCGACGTTGAGCGGGGACGGGATGCTGGAGGGGCCCGAGGAGAGGTACGCCGCGTTCGGGTTAGTGAAGACGGATGTGAGAGTCTCGAGGGACCGTGTGAAGAACATGCCGCAATCGTAAGGCTTGGAGAACACTGTTAGTATCTCTCTGGTCCTCGGAAAAGGGGGTAAGAGGCTGATATAACGTACCACGTTCAGAAGCTTGTGCCCGTCTACCGTGATGCTGTCCGCGAGTTCCAACCCGGCCGCCATGTCCTTGATCTTGGCAAACTCGGGGCTGTCGTCCAACGCCCGCGCAAAGATACCAAACGCTTCGTCCATCAGCATCGCCTTCCAGACGTCACTCAGGGGTAACACCTACCTCCATCCACATGGATCCAAGCTCCAAACCGGTCCGCCAGCTCTCTCAGCTTTTTCATCTCCTCAAACCCAGTCGCGAACCGCCCAGTGTTCACCTCTCCCGCGCTGACAGCAATGATACTCGCCACGCCCTCCCGGCCCAACTCCCTCTCGACAGCCTCCAAATCCAACCTCCACGGCTCGTCATCACTCACCCTGACCTCCTTCACACCCCCTCTGCCCAACCCGACGACGCTCGCCGCCTTGAACAGCGAGCTATGCCCCATGCTCGTCAGCACCTGAATCTCCCTGACCCCCGCCGCCGCACACGCCCCCAGAATCCCCATCTCGCCCACATCCCCCCCGCGCCGCGCGACAACCGCCTCCCGCCCGCACGCGAGACCAAGGACGTTACTCGCCGTCGCGCCCGTCGTGAACGTCCGTCCCTTCCAGACCTCCTCCTCTCCAGGCTGCTCCAGCGCAAGCACGTCCGCCAGCATCCGCAGCGCCACGCTCTCCAGCTCCGTCGCCACCGTCTGGCCCGGCAGATGCACCTGCACGTTCTGGTCGAACGCCGTGACGATGTTGTCCGCGGCCTCGGCCACAGGCAGCGTCCCGCCCGTCACGAAGCCGTAGTACCGCCCGCTCCGCGCCTGGCCGTTCAGCCCGGGCACGATCTCGTCGAGGATGTGCGCGAGCGTCGCCTCGGTGCCCAGCGGCGCGAGGTATCCCGCGCCGCCGGGCCGGGGGAGAGACTTGGAGGCGGTCGAGAGCGCCGTCATGGGCGGGAGGGTCGCAGCCTGGTCGCCGTCCGGCAGGGCGGCGCGGAGCCGGGCGTGGAATTCTGGGGATGCCATGATGTTTGTTGAATGAGTTGAGTTCTCGACTGGATGTTAATGACTGGCGTGGCGTGTGGTACGTGAAAATCAGGATGTATTACCAAACAGCGAACGAGCAGCGCTTATGTGACGATGAGCCTGCTTCGGGAGCCATCCGAAGGAACCGCCGGGGTTTGAGTCATTACGGGATTTGAAGTCGGTGAGCCGGGGCCCGGCAAGGTCCATGTGGGGAGGTCGTAAGCACCGATCCGATCCGGGTCTAGTGTGGCCCGGCTTTGCCCGGGAATTCCGATCTCGGGACAGTCTGGGAACCCCCGTGTGGGCGGAAACTCGAGTTCCCCGCGGGCCACCCTGCGAACGCACGCAGTTCACGACAAACCGTATCAACTAAACTCTAATGGTAAAATCAGATGGCAGAAAACTGTCGACATATACACGGGAACCAAAACGGAGAATGTGAAAAAAAAAAGTTGACGTATCCACAGGGAGATCCCTCGTTATCATGTGGACACCAATGGCCATGGGATGTAGATCTCCAGCGTCCCAAATCGACGTTATCTTACAAAAAGGACATTTATGTACAAGAAAAACCCATCACGACCGGCGCCTCTCACATGTGTCTTGCGCTGAGGCTGGCGAAGGCGTCAGGGCTGTGCCGGCCGTTTGTCCATTGCATATCCGTAAAAGCCATACTCTCCCGGCTCACGCCAGTCCTGCGCGGGCCAACGTCCTTCTGGGTCATGACGGGCGAAGTCGGTCCGTTAGACAAAAAGGGGTTCTTGGTCCCTGCGGCTGGTCCGTTAGCTTCTTGGCCGGCCTGGGGAGCCACAGCGTTCTCTGCCTGTGCAGGTTCCTGCGGCTGCTGCTGGAACGGCTGAGGGGCCAGCTGCGGCATGTTGTACAGCGCCAGAATAGAGGCCTTGTCAGGTCTCTGAGGCTGTTGCGACTGCTGGTACAAGGGCTGCTGAGCGGGTGCCTGCACCTGTTGTTGCTGAGAAAAGTCCTGTCCTGGCCACTGGTGCTGCTGTTGCTGCTGCTGTTGTTGCTGAGGTACCTCCTGCTGCTGGACTTGCGGCTGCTGCGGCGGTTGCTGCTGCCATGGTGACTGCTGCTGGAACGGTGACGACTGCAGAGCTTGTTGCTGGAAGGGCTGCGACTGAAACGGCTGCGACTGGAAGGGCTGCTGCTGGAACGGCTGCTGGTGCTGTTGCGGTGTGGGCATTTGCTGCTGCCCTGTCGGCTGCGAGGCCATCTGTGAGAAGAAGGGGTTGGTGTTCTGCGGCGAGAGCGGTCGCGGCGACGTGGTGTAGAAGTTCGACTGTGTCTGCTCGGGGATCTGGCCCAATGATGGAGATTGGATTCTCGTGGGTGATCGAGCGAAGGGGTTGTTCGCGAACGCGCCGGTCGTGTTCACGGCCAGACTCTGCTGCGGAGCAGGCTGCGTCTGGTTCGTGAAGAACGGGTTGTAGCCCGTCGACTGAGGCTGGATCGGTTGAGGCTGAGGATATGTCATATTACTATTAAAGTTGATATGGCTGTAGTTCTGCTGCGCTTGCGGTGCCGGTGGTGTCATGGACTGCTGATACATCTGCTGCTGAGGCTGAGCAAACGGCGGCTGGGACGCTGGAAGACCGCCGGTGTGATGCGGGAATAAGGGTTGAGCGGGCGCCAAAGACATGTTGCTGAAAGCCTGGTTGAAGTCTTGCTGAGTCTGACTGGGTGCCCCGAAAGGGTTGTTGGCGTAGGGATTCTTGTTGGCCAAAGTTCCGGTCGACTGAGAAGACTGGGGTTGAGGCGGGAGCAAGTCGAATGGATTGTTGCTAGAGGCCGTCGAGGGTGACTGTGGGTGGTCGCTGAATGTTTGCTGCGGCGCCGAGAGACCGCTTGATGTCGACGACAAGTTGGCGTGCGAACGCGTTGCGCGCAAAGAGCTCTCGCGAGGACCCGTCAGAGATGGAGACCTCCTATCAGTCTCACCCAGACGCACCAGCGTCTCAATGGCTCGCTCTAAGTTGCCGTTGACGCCCTTGAGCACCGCAGCGTTCCGTTGATTGTCCGGGAACCCCATATCCCTGAGGCTGGCCAGCTTTCGCTCGGTGTCCTCTTGCTCGTACTGAACGCTCAGGCCAAAGACCTTGGACGGTTTATTGGGCAGTTCGCTGGGCGACGGGCTTCGGGGCATATCTCTAGGGTTCGAAGCGTTGCGCATCGCGGCCTCTTTCTTGGAGCGGGACGACAACGGGAAGATGGACGAAGCAGATCTGAATCCGAACTTGCCTCCCGCCTTGGGGGGCAGAGGTGGCGGGACACCTTCGTCTGATAGACCCGAGTGTTGTTTTCTCGCAGGAGCCGGATTGTTGTTCATGTACTTGGATCGAATAAAACGCTCCATCGCGGAATCGGCCTCATCGGCGT